TTTCCTGTGACTGTGCGTATAACTGTATGTGTGTGCCTGAAACAGTGTGTGACTGCATATCTTTGACTGTGGGACTATGTGTGTTTCTCTGTACTTGTGAATGTATGTTACTATGTGTTTGTAACTGTGTCAATATGACTGTGTGCCTGTAACTTTGCTAGTGTTACTGTGTGCTAGTACACTATATGTGACATAGTATATGTGTGTTGTAAAGAACAATGGAGATGGCACTCATCAAATTAATAGAGAGGCACAAAACACAGTGCACTAGGATCAGAATGGCACTCCCAACATGGATTTGAAGAAAGGTAAAATGATCCTGCACACACTAAATACCAAAGCAGCAATTGTATTAGAAACCCGCCAGCAGTTTTAGCTTGAATAAGGGCTTTTTTGCTTACTGTGTCTGAAATGTTTGTTGTGGGTTCCAAATAAAATTTCTGTTTTGGGAGTTTGTGAGATCCTTATTGCTTTCTTCACGTCTATAGTATATATGGATGACTGTTCTTTGAATATGTAGGTGACTGTGTGTCTAGGTTTATTTATATTTGACTGTGTGCATGTATAATTGTGTAAATATCTTGTGACTGTGTGTGATTGTGTATAAGTTACTGTCTGTGGTCATGTTTGTATCTGAGTGCCTGTATGATTGCATATCTATGTATGTATGTATGCTATTGTAAATGTATGTGGGAGGAAAAAAGGGTAAGGGGTTACGAAACAGACAAGAGTTATGGGGGTTAAGAGAAACACAAGAAGTAGCATGGGTTATGAGCACAAGAGGGTCAAACGAGTTAAGAGACACACAAGGTTGTAAAGGTGGAATAGGAGACACACAAATGAACGGTCAGGAGATAAAGGATTAGTGTTTTTAGAGCGAGACACAATATTTTAAAATTCAGGGTGATTGCCAACATACATATCTGCCCGGGATGTCAAGTGACCTAGGTACAGCTCTGGTCAAGGTGGAGCTCAGCAGGTAGCACTTACAGTGAATTGTTGATCTGCAGTTTGGTCAGTCGAAGGGCAACATGAGTTTGTCTTTTTGTTACTAAATATATATATATATATATATATATATAAAAATGTACTTACAGGCATACATTGTTCCTTCAACATTTAATTACAACTTTTTTTCTTTTTTAGCATGAGCAGTAATTTACAAATCAAATTGAGAGTTCCTAGTAAATTTCATACCTGCGCAAGTATTTTCACAGATTAGAACTACTTTGCTACATTGACTGACCAGAACACAGTAACATATGCTTCATACATGCTATTCTGTGCAAGCGACATTTATTGTGCTTATTTTATTAACTATTAATTGCAGTAGCATAATTAATTTTGCTATCTTGGTGTTGGACAATTAAGGCACAAATAAAGAAAATTAGACTTAATGTTAATTTTAATTATTTAATAAAAGTTTTTACACATATACAGTTTTAGGGTTATTTTTTTAATTTTGCCACAGTGTAGTAATATCCCAAATATTACTATATCATTGTGACTCAGTGTGAGTACTTATTTCCATATTTCTAATAGAAAGTGTTGAACAGTAAGCCCTGATAGCAGTAAACCGTTATCTCTACTTGTTAAGTTTACAGAATCAGGTCCAAAAAGCCTCCAAGACACTTGTAAAATGGCTAGCGAGGGAAAAAACGAAAAAGAAATACTTGTCTGCAGCTTCTCAAAGTGACTTATGTTTATAAATAAATAGTGAGAGTCTAATTCCCTACTTGCATTCTGCCCTGGCATTGATTCAGTGCCCGTCATCATCCAATGTATCTATCTCCTAATGTCTGGTGTGGCTTTCTTTTCATATAAACTTTTGTCCCCAGTGTAATCATTAACAATAACGTGCTAAGTTCACATTTTAAAGTATACTTTAAGCAAATTAACTCCGAAAACTATCCTCCATCATGCACGTTAAGGATGCAAAGTTTTCATAGGTGTTTATTTTTTTCACATTACAAATGACATTTGATATCTATTCTGGAACATACCGTAACTCTATTATTTTTCACTTTCCCCTTCAACCCCCTGTGAAAATATGGACAACAGCCGTTCCCACCATGCATTCTTCTTTATACACAGGGCAACATTAATTTTGCAAATCAAACTGAGTTGAAAAAAACCCCAAATACTTTCCTTCTGATCCTATTCTGGATCTGCTGCCAAATTATTATATGCTACATAGGGCTGGATTAAGAGCCTATTGGGCCTGTTGCTGACAATTATGATGGGCCTAATTACAGAATCTTATCAACAGAAAACACTAAAACATATCCCAATCGTCATGTATCTGGTGGAGGTGGAGGTAGAGGTGGTGTTGGAGGGAATCTCACAGGATATAGATATCAGAAAACACATACCCTATGCTAATCTCTCACTTTCATTTTTCATGTAAATCCATTACCCCCTAACAGCAGTGTCCAGTGAATAAGGATTTTGGTGGGTGGGTAAAAGAGTGGACAACTGATGTGAATCACGTAACCTGAACCGCCCAAAGGGACCAACATGCCCAAAAAGGGGATATATCTGCATGGAGTACTAGATGTTCAGCCTGGCATGAATGCACGTCAGGCTGCCTGCCAATCATGCATGATCCAAACAAGGGCATACTGTGCCAACAGCACCCTGAGCTTGACATAAATGCATCTAATGATGGGCTAGCTCTACGCTTTCTAAGGACTGTCACCTAGCACTCCCTGGTCCACTCCTCTCCTAACCATTTTACTAGCAGGCAGAAGCTCCTGTTATACAGTTTGGTACAGAGAAAAATGGTATGTAGTGAGTGTAGAAGAAAGGGAACATACCACAGTGTTAAAGAGACTGAAGCAGCAAGAACATTTGCAAAGTCAGCTTTACCTTAACTAATTTCATTGTCAGTCCACATCAGGTTTGCTCCCTTACATCCCTCTTAAGTTTCCATACTTAAGCAAGAGCATGTGAAAAGTAGTATAAAATGAAAAAATAAATGTTTGGGGTTTTTTTGTTTTGTTTTTTTAAATCTGCGGGCCTATTCCATGGCATGGGCCTGGAGCTGCAGTTCCATCAGCCCCTATGTTAATCCAGCCCTGATGCTATCTCAGTAGCCTACCATACAAATACCTGAATTCAGGGGTAGCTGGTGAAGTTTTAAGATGGTGGAGCGCCAGACTCCTCCACCAGAATTTGAATCTGCTCTTTAACTCTTTAGCCACCATCTTCAGTCCTGTGGTATCTGCCCGTTTAACCTTATGTACTCAATCACTAATGGTAGTCCCCATTCAATACAGACTTACCCATACATCAACATATATACAAACACCAACCCCCAACCTCGCTCTTAGCTACCCATACATCACTCAGAGCTAGCTTAATCAGACCTCAGGTAGTCACTGTTGCCATTGGAGGAGAGAATAATATTATACACTTACATTTAGCAGGGGCCAGGAACTGCTGCTGCTGTGCTTTACTGTACTTCAAGATGGCTTCTAGCTTCTCTCTTCTGTGGGCAGGATAACCCCACCCCGTTGCTAAAACCCAATGATGACCCTCCTATAGATAGGCCAATAACATGCCTCCCCTCATGGATTGCTGGCTTTGCTGCCAGAATGGGAACTCAATGGAAGTCCACTGAAATTCCTTTTTAAAGGAGACTAAGCATGTGCAAAATCTCCTGAAACAGGACAGAGTTCACACTTGTCCCATTTTTGACATGCCTTGTGGCTCTCAGGAAGTTTCTCCAGGCAGCCACCAATGTGGTGGGAGGAGTCCTGCAGAACTGGAACCTATTACTTAATTAACCCCATAATGACGGCGTCCACCCCACTTACCCAATACCCGCCGGCGATCGACGTTCCTCACATTCTGCGAGGACTGTCTGACAGCCCAGGCAGTACCCCCTCAGCAAATTAGGCCCCTGCAGGCCATGTGATCACTCTGCAAGAGTGGTCACATGGCGGCAATAGGCATCCATGGTGCTGCCTGCAGGGGGATCGCCTAAAGTGACGGGCAGTCTCCCTGCTGCTAAAAAATAGAAGAAGAAAAAAATATTAGTAAATTAAAAAAATATATTTTAACCCCTCAAGGACTGGACTGTTTTTGCGATGTTGTACATTTGTGACCAGGCCTCTTTTTACACTTTTGTGGTGTTTGTGTTTAGCTGTAATTTTCCGCTCTCTCATTTACTGTTCACATACAAATTATATATTTTTTTTTCAGGACAAAAAAGGCTTTCTTTACATACCATTATTTATATAATCTCATGTAATTTAATTTTAAAAAAATAAAAAAATATGAGGAAAAATTTAAAAAAAGACATGTTTTTTGACGTTTACTTGAAAAGTCTTTTACTCATCTACAAAAGCGAATACAAAAACTGCTAAATAGATTCAAAATTTTGTCCTGAATTTTAAAATACGCAGTGTTTACATGCTTTTTTGCATGTTATAGGGCTATAGGTACAAGTAGGATATTGCGGTTTCAAAACATAAATTTTTTCTAATTTATCAGTAGTGACATTGTAACACTATTATCTGTTACAAATCTCTGAATAACACCCTACATGTACATATTTATTTTAAAGTAAACAACCCAGGGTATGTCCAGTTTTTTTTAGTAGCCACCTTGTCGCAAACACTGGCCAAAGTTAGCGTTCATATTTGTTTGTGTGTGAAAAAAGTAAAAGATTAAATTGAATGCTATATTTGGCCAGTGTTTGTGACTAAGTGGCTACTAAGAAAAACTGGACATGCCCCATTTGCAATACCTTGGGTTGTCTTCTTTTGCAAATGGTATGCCATCATGGGGGTAATTCTCATTCCTGGGCTACCATACGCTCTCAAAGGTAACATAACCAACCTGGCCATTTTCAATGTAAAAATATTTGACCCATATATTTGACCCTGTAACTTTTAAAAAACGCTATAAAATCTGTACATGGGAGGTACTGTTATACTCGGGAGACTTTGCTGAACACAAATATTAGTGTTTCAAAACAGGAAAATGTATCACAACAATTATATCATCAGTAAAAGTGCTGTTTGTGTGTGAAAAATGCGAAAAAAGTCACTTTCACTGACAATATCATCGCTGTGATATGTTTCACTGTTTTGATTCACTAAAATGTGTGTTCAGCGAAGTCTCCCGTGTAAAACGGTATCCCCCATGTACAGGTTTTAGGGTGTCATAGAAAGTTACAGGGTAAAATAGAGTGCTAGCAAATTAAATTCTCTGGACTTTCGGCCTGGGTTGGCAGGCAGGTCCCTCAAATTGCAATTAATAAAATTACTTAATTATTTAAAAATATTACATAAATACGCACGTAGAATTTAAATATATATGCATATTTATATATTTGAAGTCTACGTGTATATTTATATAATTATTTATGTAATTTTGTATATGGATATATGTATATTTATTATTATTTATATTTATTTATATATACATAGATATATATACAATTTCATTCTAAGTGTATTTTGATATAAATATATATATATATATATATATATTAATATCAAAATACAGTTAGAATAAAATTTCAGATAGATAAAAAAAATTCTATTTTTATTATTTTAAATTGTTTTTATTTAATTTAATCTACTTATTATTTGTATTGTATAATTATATATATATATATATACACAATATATATAATTATATATTATATATATATATATACGTGTGTAATTTATTTATAAGTGTATTTTTATATTAATATATGTACATATTAATATAAAAATACACTTAGTATGACATTATATATATGATATATAGACATATATAGATATAATATGTCTATATATCATATATATATACACATATATAATTTTTTTTTTTATTAACATTAACAGTTATTTTTTTAATGATTTTACACTAGCAGGGAGACTGCCTGTCAGCACAGATACATGGACACCTATTGTGACCATGTGACTGCTCTGTTGAGCCACAGGGGTCCTAATCCGCCGCGGGGAGACTGTCTGGGCTGCAGGCGGTCTCCCCACACTGGGAGCACCACCGATCGCCGCCGAGGGAACGACGGCGATCGGGTAAGTACACAAGACCGATAGGACGGTTCAGGACCGTCACCGGTTGGGAATGGAAAAATGCCGATGATGGTCCTGATCCGTCCTCAGTCATTAAGGGGTTAAAAAATATATATATAATGTCATACTAAGTGTATTTTTTATTAATATATACATATATTAATCTAAAAATACACGTAGAATTAGATTACACACACACACATATATATATAAAATAACTATATATATTGTATATAATTTATTATTATTATTATTATTATTGCCATTTATATAGCGCCAACAGATTCCGTAGCGCTTTACAATATTATGAGAGGGGATTTAACTATAAATAGGACAATTACAAATAAACTTACAGGAACAATAGGTTGAAGAGGACCCTGCTCAATCGAGCTTACATTCTATAGGAGGTGGGGTGTAAAACATATATATATATATGTATAAATATATATATTATTATAAAATATAAATAATAAGTAAATAAAAATAAATAATTAAACATATATATGTATATGTAATCTCATTCTTACTGTATTTTGATATGAAATACAGTGTATCAAAATACACTTAGAATGAATATATATATATGTATATATAAATAAATAAAAATAATAAAAAATATAAATATATCATTATACATAATTACATAAATAACTTCATAAATATTCACGTAGACTTCAAATATATAAATATGTATGTATATATATATATATATATATATATATATATACACACATACACACACACACACACACATATATATATATATATATATATATATATATTTTATTTTTTTATTTTTTTCCCCAGGTCCCAGCACTCAATGTTCCCGGTCTTTTCCATGCTCCGGTGCAAGTATATAGCATCCAAGTAGAGAGCATTCTGGAGTCTTCGTTTTATATCAAAATAGATACTGCTTTATTGTATATTTTTTATTTATTTTATATATATTTAAATTCTACATGCATATTTATGCAATATTTTTACATAATTAAGTAATTTTATTAATTACAGCTTGAGGGACCTGCCTGATAAACCAGGCTGAAAGTCCAGAGAATTGAATTTGCTAGCACTATATTTAACCCCATAACTTTCCAAAACATCCTAAAACCTGTACATGGAGGGTACTGTTTTACTACTGCTTTACTAATATAAATATTAGTGTTTCAAAACAGTAAAACTTATCACAATAATGATATTTCACACACAAACAGCACTTTCACTGACGATATCATTGTTATGAAACACTAATATTTGTGTTCAGCGAAGTCTCCTGAGTATAACAGTACCCTCCATGTACAGGTTTTATAGCATTTTTGAAAGTTACATGGTCAAATATAAGGCTGTTGGGTCTTTTTTAGTAGCCACTTAGTCACAAACACTAGCCAAAGTTAGCATTTATGTTTGTTTTTTTTAATTTCTTACACACAAACAAAGATAAACGTTAATTTGGCCAGTGTTTGTGACTAAGTGTCTACTAAAAAATACTGGACATAACCCATATTGAATACCCTGGGTTGTCTACTTTTGCAAATCGTGTGCCATCAAGGGGGTAATTATCATTCCTGGGCTATGATACAGTCTCACAGGCAACATAACCAGCCTGTCAGATTTCAATGTGTATAAACTGAAAAATGAAACATGCTATATTTGACCCTGTTACTTTCCAAAACACCCCCCTGTACATGGGGGATACCGTTGTACTCTTGAGACTTTGCTGAATACAAACGTGCATTTTATTGCAGTAACAGCTAACAGTATTATGACATTTACAGTTAAAATGCCACGCAAAACTTAAAAAAAATGAAAAAAAATCTTAATTTCTCACACTTTTTTTTAGATTTTATTCATAATACATTTTATGTTCCATATATGAATATTTCATGTGAAATGAAAGCCATGTTTCTCCTGAACAAAATGATATATAATAAGTGTGCACTTAATATGAAAAAGGTGAATTATGGTTGAACAGACATATAGCGCAAATTCCAGTTTTTGTTTACATTTTGTTTTGATCACAACTTTTACAACTGGCTCAGTCCTTAAGGGGTTAAAGAGTCACAGATTTGTTTTTCTGTTTTATTTTGACACAAATGGCTGGAGAAGGTAAATGTACTTTCTTTCCATTTTTATTAGCTTACCACCCTCCACGCTTAGAGTCTTTGTGTTTCTAAACTATTGCAAATATTTTTTCGCATATAAAAACTGGTTAGACGCTGCCCCAATTACCCCTATGGACAATCCTCCACGGGACTGCAGCAGCCTCCTAGTGCACCACTTCAAATCACTGACATGGTCATGGTATCTGAAGTAACTTTTTAATGAATTATGTACTTGCCTTCTGACCTAAATCCAACAGGACAGTCCTCATTTTGGACCTCTGTCATGCTGCTGTTGGGTTCTTTTCTATGGTGTCCTACTTCTGGAGACATCAAAGGAAAGTCCCAATAAAACTGAGAGCAACACATTTGTGTGAGGCTTTACCAGGAATTCCCTCCCATGAAAGTATGCTTCATCAAAGTTCTACACCTTGGAAGTGGCAGCTGTCTGCCCTGTAGCTGCTTGTTATTCTGGTGGGAATGCTCACTGTGATGACATACAAATTTTATGACCACAAGCTTCACAAGTGACACAAATTGCATCATGGGAATGCCCCATACCATGTTAACATGTACCGGATAAATTAACTTCTAGACACAATGTATAAAAAAAAACTATCTGCAATTCTTATCAACAATAATACGAAAACAAAAACAAAAAGTACTGAAAAGAAAACTGCAGTATTGCAGTGAACAGCTTTATAGTTCTTGATTCAATTAGGGCCGGATGTTCATATTCTAAAGAGCCCCCTACTCCAGAGGCGTAACTAGAAACTACTGGACCCGGTGCAAAAATTGCCCTTGACCCCCCCCATGTGTCTCATTCCTCCTCCCCGGCCTTCACGTGTCTCATTCTTCCCCCTTAGCCTCTCCATGTGTTTCATCCCTCCCTCTTGCCCCTCCACATGTCTCATTCCTCCCCAGCTCCTCCAAGTGTCTCATCCCACACCAGACCCTTCACGTGTCTTACCCCCCCTCCATTTGTCTCATTCTTCCCCCCTTATCCCCTCTATGAATCTCTCCAACACCCCAGACTCTCCTTGGTTTTCTCTCCATCCCTCCCTTGAATGATTCTCTCCCCCCTTCCTCTGCCCCTCCATCATGCTCCCCCCTTCCCAGCCCTCCATCATGCTCCTTCTCCATGATGTCCTCTCTCCTGCTCCACCATGATGCCCCCTCCCAGCTCCCCTCCCATGATGCCCCCCCTCCTGCCCTCCGTGATGCTATACCTCCCTCACTGCCCCTCCATGATGCCACCCTCCATCCGCCTCTCCCCCCCTCCCAGCCCCTCCATTATGCTCTCCCTCCTCCCTACCCCTCCATGATGCTCAGCCTCTCCCCAGCCCCTTGATCATGCTCTCCCTCCCAGCCCCTCCATCATGCTCCCCCTCCCCAACCCCTCCGCCAGTGCCTCCCCTCCACCATGCTCTCCCCTCCTCAGTCCCTCCATCATGCTCTCCCTCCCCAGCCTGCATGATGCTCACCCCCCAGCCTCCCATCATGCCTATCCCTCCCCAGCCCTCCATGTGCTCTCCCGCTCTCCCTCCATGATGCTCTTCCCTCCTGCAATCCCTGATGCTCTCCCCTCCACTGCCCCCCGCAGTGCCCCCCTCCATCATGCTCTTTAACTTCAAGCCTCCATGTGCTCTCCCCTCACCCCTCCATGTGCCCCCTCCATCTGCCTCTTTACTTCAAGCCTCTCCATGATGCTCTCCCCACTTCCCCTGCCCCTCCATGATGCACTCCCCCCCTGCCCCTTCATGATCTCTCCCCTTCCAGTCCCTCCATATGCTCCCTCCCACCAGTGCATGATACTCACCCTTTCCACCTCCCATCATGCTCTCCCCTCCCCAGCCCTCCATAATCGGCTCTCCCGGCTCTCCCTCCATGATGCTCTCCCCTCCCCTGCCAATCCCCTGATGCTCTCCCCCCTCCACTGCCCCTCCATGATGCCCCCCTCCATCATGCTCTTTACCTTCAAGCCCCTCCATGACTGCCTCCTGCCCCCCTCCCTGCCCCTCCGCTGCCTCCATCATGCTCTTTACACTTCAACCCTCCCCCCTCCATCATGCTCCATAACCCCTCACTGCCCCCATCAGCAAGCCTCTCCATGATG